GGTCCACATACATCGGTATGTATTAGGTCTAATAGTCCCTCACCCCTTTCACAAGTACTCGTGAAGGGTGACTTAGTCATCTTTCCAAGTAAACAAGACTCGCATGTGTCATCTTCCCTAAGGTCGAATGACTCCAACACTCCATCCTTTTGGAGTTGGGCTATGCGTTTCTTGTTGACATGTCCAAGACGACAATGCCACAAGGATGCTTTATCCATACTAGTGGAAGAATCAATATTCAAAACATCATTTCCTAAGTTATCAACAATCATAACAGTTTCATATATTCCATTACATGGTATAGCTTCAAAGTAAAAGACACCATTTAGATAAGCCAAAATAGAACCATTCTCATTATTAAAAGAAAATCTAAATCCTTGTCTATATAAACCATGAAATGAAATGATGTTTCTAGCCATTTCTGGCGAATAGCAACAATTGTTCAAATCTAAAACTAAACTATTCTTAAGCACTAAAGAATACACTCCAATCTTGGTCACAGGCGACGATCTTCTGTTCCCCATGATTAGATTGATCCTTCCTTGCTCCACATCCCTACTTCTTCTTAGTCCCTGCGAAAGATGGCTTGATCTTTCCTTCCTTGATGGCTTGCAGGTAATCCGGGCAGCTTCTCTTCCAATGTCCTATCTTGTGGCAGTGGTGGCACTCTGCCTCCTTCGGGTTAGAGCAGGGCTTAGAGGGATCAACTTTGGTCCCACTAGAAGAGGAACCATCTCGGGCTTTCACCTTTCGATAGTTATTTGAAGAAGCTTTCCTCTTCTTTCCCTTCCCTTGACCAATAGCCAAGACAGGAGCAGCGGATGGATTGGGAGTTGGTGCAACAGACTTGTCCTTGAAATTGCTCTCAGCAACCCTCAAGAGACCTTGGAGTTTACTTAGAGTGACCTCCTCTTTGTTCATGTGGTAGGTCATCCTAAATTGATTGTACATCGGAGGCAAAGAGTGAAGCACCATGTCGATCGCCAAGTCTTCGCCGAAGTCAACATTTAACTTGCGAAGGCGGTCGACATACCTTTGCATCTTTTGCAAGTGCACGGTAAGAGATTCTCCATGACCCATCTTAGCGGAAATCATGTTAGTGAAAATCTCGTAACGCTCTTGTCTCGCGTTTTGGTGGTACCTCTCCAACAAGTCTTGATGCATCTCGTATGGATACATGTCCTCGTAGGACTTTTGGAATTCGGAGTTCATGGTGGCGATCATGATGCAATGTACTTTCGTTGCATCTCGCTCATGGTTTCAAAGGCGGTGATTTCGGCGGGAGTAGCAACTTCGGGGTTGATTTTCTCGAGCTTCTCGTCGAGGACATACTCTTTATCCTCATAGCGAGCAATGGTGCGAATGTATCTTATCCATTCGCCAAAGTTCGTTCCATCGAAGGTGACCTTTTGGCAAAGGCTCATCAACGTGAAAGAACTAGCAGCAGCGTTGTTTGCGTTTGACATCTATAGAAAGGACAAAGATAGATTAGAACAAGAATCCCTAATTATCACCCAATAAGAAAAATTAGGGCTAGGATCCAACAATAACATTTACATACTAGAAAAGGGATGCCGTAATCCAACATGCAAATAAATTGAAGGTAAGTGAATGACGATTCACTAATTCTCCATCACAAAACTTAAACTTTTAGTCCTAAGTGTTTTTGAGAATTCCTAGGTTCGGATGAGATTCATTGAACTATTCAATGGCATGTTTAAATCTCGATATGCCCCTCTTGTTTGTGACTGGGATGCCGAGGATCACAAAGCGGGTGTGAATTACCATGCAAATTCACATGGTGCCTTCATTGTTACGATCACCTATTCGATGTGCCGGTAAACCACACACGCTCCATCGAACTATGATAAACAATGAATCACCCTTTGCCACCTTCGCTTAGAACCAATTAGTGTGCCGGTAAACCACACACGCTCCACTAACATCTTAGCAAGGTGCAAAGTGTAATTTCATGGATTGCATCAATTCACTTTTCCTAAAGTAACTAAGATTGGGAAATTTTAAAAAAAGTTTAGTTACTTCGTATTTCTTATTATACTTTTAATGAGAGGATGAGGTTGCCCTATCCTACCCGTTCGGCTAACGACCCTCCACCAATCAAGCAAGCGGTGGGTGTGAGTGTACACCCATTAAGCGCCATTTTATAGGCCGCAACCTTATACCCACCTTATAGATCGGCTTCGTGAATGAGGCCTACTAGCGGTAAGACTAGCATTTAGTTATACATATATATATTATTCTAGTAATATCATATAAGTATAGGGTTGCATTTTAAACTTTTCAAAATCTAGGGTTTGAAATTTAAGTTGTCTAAATTAAAACTTTAATCACAAATATAAATTTCAAAACTTTAGGGTAGGTTTTAAACATTTAAAAACATAGAGGATCAAATAACAAATAATTCCAATTAACAATTAATATTCTAATTATCTTTATTTGATTTATCTTGATTTCTTTGAAGATAATTACCAAAATAATTAATTATTATCATATAAGGAAATTAAATATTTTATTAGATGATAAATATCTTTAATTAGATCAAGATAACAGTCATATTTATCAAAAAATCGGATTTACATTGATCTAATATGATTAAGGTAAGTTTCCATAAGATAATTATGAAAAAATCCCGAATCTGGCCATTCCTGACGCTTGGACTCGCCGAGTGCACAAGGGGACTCGACGAGTCAGGCCTACTCGACGAGTCCACCTTGGAACTCGACGAGTCAGTGACTCAAAACCCAAAAATCGAATTTTGCAGGTTTGTTTCAGTTATTCAAGCAACAATTTAAAGAAAACCAATCTAGGCTCTGATACCACTGTTGGGTTTTAGCCATAAGAACTTTCCTATGTGCGCATGCAAAACCCTATTGCTTGGATCTAGGCTTTCTAATAAACATGCTTTTGAATCCAAGACTTCTAATGGCTAATTAGGTTAAACAACAATATTAAAACAGATCTAGAATCATACCTTTGAATCCCTTGTTGATCTTGTTGTCTTGGAGCTTCTAGAGTCACAATTGTCACTCCTCTAATGGCTTACAAACACCAATAGCAAGCAAGATGATTTAGGAGAGAGGAGAGGGGATGGAATTCGACCAGAGGTTCCTTGCTTTAGGTTCTGTAAGGTTGTACACGAATTCCACATCCCAAGGGCCTATTTATACCTTTAGACTCCTTAAGGGTTTCACCCTAAACCCTAATTGGATAATCTTCTCTTAAGGCTATCCAAATCCATTCCATAGATAACCTTATGGACGATTTTGAGCTATCCTAAAGCTCTTAGAATCCGTCCAAGGTCCATCCTAATGGATTTACAGTCTAAAGTCTAACTATCGAACAATTGACAGTTTATACCCTCTTATTTAATTAATCTCTTTAAGTCACCAAATTAATACCAATTAATTTATGACTTATATTAATCAAATAGCTAAATATTATTCCTTATAATATTTACTCTCTCTTAACAAATCATCCTTCAAGTTGCTATGGTGAAGGCAACCCAAAAGGACCATGCACCACCGAATATAGTTATAGCCTTAGACACTATTCCAACACTTTACCGATTATCAAATGGACATCAAGACGGCCTTTTTGTAGGGCAAGGTGAAGGAAGAAATCTACGTTGATCAACCCCCTGGGTTTGTTGACTCGAAGTATCCTAATCATGATCAAGATGAAGAAGAAGCAAGATGAAGAAGCAACAAAAGGGAAATTATTATTCAAGAGGAACTCTAACCTAAATGCTTCTTGGGACGAACCATTAATCACAATGACCGATCTTGAAGTGGTTCGGTTCCGAGATCCTTTCGGAGATCGATCGGGAGTGGCTTCGTGGGAGTTCCATGATACCCTTAAGATGTGGATTGTGATACGAAAAAGTGGAAATTCTGAGCTGTACAAAAATATCCATGATTTTAGCTCATTCACGAGGATTGAGTTGACAGAGCTATCTCGGGCTCCCTTCTTCAATCTAATGAACAATCCTCAAGTAAGTCAATTCAAACACTTCCTTGATGATCAAGTCAAAAAGGGATTTCCTTCCATGCCGACTGCAGAATTTGTGATTTTTGAACATCCAGATGTTATTGATCACTCTACTGACAAACCATTGCAAGTGGTAATGCGGCCCGCGACGAAACAGGATAAACAGTTTTCGGTGTTTCAAGTTTATCAAGATGGGTCTCTTGGTTCGTTAGAGTGCTGGGTCTTTGATGAGATCACCTCTAGTGCTGTCCTCAAGCTCAAAAGTGGATGCATCAGACTTTATGATCGAAGAGACTTGTTGTAGTTCCGGAAGTGGGATATTCATTATCTTAGAAACTTTCAAATCAAGGTTGTTGAAGTTATCTATGAAGACCGTGCGAAAGTGTATACGATAATGGTTGCAGAAATTTTGAGCAAACGCATTTGGAACGGAGCTATTGGGCAAATGGATGTTATGATCGTTAACAAAGGATAACCTTGGGCTAGTCAAACCAAGGGGGAGATTGAAAGGCTTCGAATAATGGTTTGGTCTAGGTGTTGTAGTTAGTGGTAGGGGTACATTTGTAATTTGCTTCTTTTTGTCTGTTTACGGTTGTAAAGGAGTTTACGGCCATAAACACCTTACGACCGTAAACTCCTCATGGTCTTGAGTGTGTCTATATATATAGGTCTATTTCAGACGTACTGTTGGTTGATGCTTTTAGTATTTGCGGTTGCTACCAAGTTGTATCAGACGTTTAAGGTTTTAAAACGTATGCAAGCTTGGTTTGTTACATTTTTGCTTATTATCTCGTCTTGTTTGATTGTTGTGTGCTTTTGATCACTGGTAAGATCTGATTTTGGACTTTACAAACACACTTGTTATGGAGATGGATAATATGGAGAAAGTGGTACCTATCTATGTCTCTGCATATAAGGTGTTTGATAAAACGCCCCAAAGAGTATATTTTTTTTCTGATTACAAGTTTTTTTTTATGTTTAGGTACAAGTCAATGATAAAGAAAGGGGCAGAAGATGGTGTTTTTGTGGACTAAACAAATTTATACAATCAATTTTTTGTTGCTAGTGGAGAGGGGAATACAAAGATAACTGCAACTCGTTTGCCCTTTTTTGATGGTGATTATTCGTCAGGGGTAGCTGAAAATATAGTTAAGAAACTTGAAGTAGAGGAAACTAGTGCTGGTGGATTGCAAAGCAAGCTGCCTAACAAGGGAATCTTGAAAGCCATGGGATATGATAAACCTGATGTTGTAGTCAAGGATGTGTTAGTGATGGAAAAGGTAATCTTTTTGCTTGCTGTATGCTGGCTCACTTAGACTAATATTCTTCTTTCTTGATTTTTCTTGCAGATGGGCCAAACTATTCTACATGTGAAGGAAAACTTTATGATTGTCCATTTACAACATGTTTGCAATCAGTGCCATGAAGTGATATTATCTAGAAGGAAATGGTTTTGCAGCCATTGCAAAAAGATTTAACTATGTTCAAGGTAAATGAGGTCTTTGTTTTTTTCGTCTCATTCTTCCATACAAGATAAGAGTTTACAAGACAAGATTCTTAGGGCAGGAAGTACAACAGATAATACTGGACGATAACAGAAGAAACAAACACAGTTAGTATACCTCAAATAAGTCAAAAAGTCAAACCCACATTTTTCTCTAAAAACCAGTTTACATAATTATATAAGTTATGCTATCTGTTAACATCTTGTTATTTATTATAATAACTTCATATAGAATGGTATAATAGTTGCCTAAATGCTTTGAACAATGTTGAGAGGCAATATCAAAAGAAAGATGTGGCTGATATTATTCAATCAAAAGTTATCCATGTTTGTCATGTTCTATAATATCAGTAAATATATAACTTTTTAAAAAGGTCACATTACTTAAAGAATATATAATGTTTGAAGTTATCTGAAATCTGGTGATTTTAGGGGTCTGGATGTTGAATGTCTTACAGATACATGGATTGGAAAGGACAGGTTCCCCCTCTCTCTAGATATGTATATGTATATGTGTATGTATATGTATATGTATATATTATTGATTATTTGTTGTATGTCAGATGGGATTTTATTGATTTGAGTGCAGGTCCATTTTCATTGGGACCTACTGTTCATGGGGACCTACTATTGTATGTTAAAAACTAATGAACACATTCTTGAAGTCTATGAGCTAGCATCTGTCTTTGTTATTATGTTTATTTACTAATTTTGCTCTTTGTTGATATCAGAAATTACTGAAGAAGAGGCTAAAGATCACTTGCAAGATGCAATTTAGGAAAAGTTTGCTGCATTTGGGGATGTATGTATTCTAACTACTATACAATCTTATAAAATATCATATTCTGCATTTTAGAGAACATTAATCTCTGTTAGTTTTTATTTATTTATTTATCCTATTATGTGTTGGATTACAGCAGTAAAAGGAGCATTAAAATTAAAAAACAAAAAACAAAAAGATCATTCTCTCCTTATTATCATATGCCTAATAAATTATGTACTTCAATTTGCAGAAAGATCGTCAAGCAATAGATATCCTTTTAGCAGAGATCGATATATAAGATTTTTGCTTTCAAACATTGTTAGGGAAGAAGGGTGAAACTTGCTCTTTCTAAAGGTAATTTTTTTTTCTTAATGTATTATCCTCTATATTCTTGATATATAAGATTTTTGCTTTCAAACATTGTTAGGGAAGAAGGGTGAAACTTGCTCTTTCTAAAGGTAATTTTTTTTTCTTAATGTATTATCCTCTATATTCTTGATATTTTCCCACTTTTTGAATCTTTTATCAAATTCTCACTTTTGGATACAGAGCTTGATGAGAGAATGCATGACCTAAAATCGGAGGTCCAGTCTTTTGAAAGTGATGAATATGTTGAAATCCATAAACAAAAAGCTATAGATGCTTGATGAGAGAATCTGTTGAAATCCAGTCCTTTGTGAGTAATATAAAGGAAGCTAATCAATGCATCAACTATCTTCTTGATATGGTAATATAAAGGAATCGATTTGATGATTGAGTTGTTTTTTTGGTTTGTTTTGCTTCATAACTTGAAATAGAGTATTTTTTACATCAAAATAATGGTTTTTGGATTGTTAACTATTGCAAATTGTTTCCTTTTTAGGGGCTGGGTAATTGAGATAAGAGCTGGGGATATGTGAATCACTCTAAAGGCCCTACATATTAGATACTTGACAAATCACCAAAGAATGAAGTTTAACTGAAAGAAATCCTTAATACTGCCTATAATTGAAAAAGTATGATCCTCTCTCTCTCTCTCTCTCTCACACACCCATACATGCATATCAATATTAGAGTATTACAATACTTCCTTGTATATATGTATATAGGCCAAGGTCATACATATCTAGCACTGCAATTGAAACAAACAAAATGTTGGAGGTGGCCATAAGAAAAGGTAAGCAAAGGGTAATTTGGTATTTGTTGTTGTTATTGTGTATTACAATACTTCCTTGTATATATGTATAAAGTTTGTTCTTATTCAGATTTTCCTTTTACCATTGATTTCCTTTTGTCCATGTAGGATCCACCAGGAATAGGAAAAACACAAACAATTCTTGGGCTTCTTAGTGTCATATTACATACCAACTAAGTATCTAAGTCTCCTAGTAACATTGTATGACATTGATTATTAGAGGGTATTTTAGTAACATTGTAAGAGATTGATTACTTGAGGGTACTTATCGTATCTAATGTTATATTATTTTGTTAACATGGTCCTTAGTGCAATGAATTATCTTTATTGTTTATGGTATTTTATTTTCTATTATGAGACTTTTAATGTGCAATAAATTATCTTTTTTATTTATAGTATTTTATTTTGTATTTTCTATGAAATTAACATTCGTGCAATGGATTGTATTTTTTGTATATGGTATTTTATTTTCTATTATGAGAAATGAAATGCAAAAATGTGTGTCATCTTCATTTAAGAAATGGCCTTTCTTGATATCAGCATTTTTGATACGCATGGCGTGTCATAAATGCGCGTCGTCTATAGATGACACACAAAAGCGCGTCTTCTCTTGTCATGATAGGGCCCTCCTTGACGCACATTTGTGCGTCGTCTGAGCATTTTACGACGTGTAATGGGCGTCGTAAAAGGCCTTTTTTCTAGTAGTGTTATCATATAGACTGAGGCATGCATTATAATCATTCTCTCTGTCTGTTTGTTGTTTCCCGATTTTCGATTTATGGCAGTTGACTAATTGAACGAATTAAATCAGTCCAGGCTTGACCAAGCACTTAGGGGTGTCATCACTAAATCATCGAGGGTCCCACATTCGCTTTTATCGTTAGGCAGTATTAAGGAATGGATAAACTTCGACTCATATGCTTGTACTAACTACTTGTTGAATCATACGTAAAGGCACGTTTTATAACATCAAGTTACGGATGCATTTTTGTACAATCAATGAATAACCAACTGATAGTTAACAATTCATATATCTAGGTTTGAAGAATATAAGATATTATCATCTCATGATTCACTCATGATAAAATCCATGAAGCGATTCAAATGAGTGCGGGTTTAATCCAATACTCAGAACTTATGAGCACTCATGAATGTTGTAACAACCATTGCTATGTCTACTACACCTTAGACAAATCGTACAAGCCATATTCATGACAGTCTTGATTCATATCTACTTCCAACATATGACCGACAGTGGATGGTTTGAATAATTTAAACATTTAGGAACAACGACCTAGCACAAAAGCGTGTCTTCTCTTGTTATGACAGGGCCTTCCTTGACGCACATTTGTGCATCGTCTGAGCATTTTACGACGCACAATGAGCGTCGTAAAACGCCTTTTTTCTAGTAGTGATATCATATGGACCGAGACATGGATTATAACATTTTCTTTGTCCATTTGTTGTTTCCCGATTTTTGATTTATGACAACTGACTAATTAAACAAATCAAATTAGTCCAGGCTTGGCGAAGCACTTACGGGTGTAATCACTAAATCATTGAGGGGCCCACATATATCGCTCTTATCCTTATGCGGTAAAAGAAATGGATAAACTTCGAATCATATGCTTATACTAACTGCTTGTTGAATCATATATAAAGGCATGTTTTATAACATCAAGTTACTGATGCGTTTTTATACAATCATTGAATAACCAACTCATATTTAATAATTAATATCTCTAGGTTTGAAGAATATAAGATATTCTCCTCATGATTCACTCATGATAAAATCCATGAAGCGATTCAAATGAGCATGGGTTTAATCCAACACTCAGAACTTATGAGCACTTATGAATGTTGTAGCAACCATTTCTATGTCTAATGCACCTTAGACAAATCTTACAAGCTAGATTCATGATAGTCTTGATTCATATCTACTTCCAACATATGACCGACTGTGGATGCGGTGAATAACTTAAACATTCAGGAACCACGACCAATTTATTCTGGAAGACGTAACATGCAAAGTGAAACACAAGAATAATACTTAATCCTATATGGCCCCAAACTCTTGAGTGTAAATAAAAACCCTTTTATCTAAGCACCATATTGATTACTCATTATTCATTGTTTCGATTTATCCACTTAATACTTAAATTGAAACAATAGTCATACCATGTACCAAGCATGCATACTATGTTTACCTATGGTCCTTTTTTTTTTTTTTTGAAATAGATCAATTGAACACGAATCCAGTGATGCTCATTTCACAATCCCAATCCCTTTTGTAAGTGTAAGAATACCAAACTCTTGCCAGTTATTGTAATATTTTAGATTCTAGGCTTATATGCAATGATTCTCTTGTAATGACTATGCACAAAAGTCACAAAGACTTGGAAACAAACATTACAAAGTATTCCAATGGAGATCAATTCCATGGAAATGAAGTCTCATATTCAAATTACATTCCTTTGAACATCCTTCTTTGCATTAAGTTTTCTAATCTTACACGGATTCAGAGAATAACTTCCTCCTATGGAAACAATTACATATTACCATTGTGACTATTACTTCTAAACAAGAGTTGCCACTTTTCAGAATATGTCAATATGATCCTTTCCAAAGTTTAACTACAATACTTCAAATTTTCCACGTGTGACAACCCGAAATTTCTATCTTGTACAAACTATTCACTTTAATCAAAGTCAAACTTGTTTCTACTAACTTTTAGCACTGTTTAGAGTCTGTTTGAGCATTCTGAGCTTAGTACACCAAAGGAATGAGTGAAAGGAAGTGTCAACTAGAGTTGTAACCTGTCAAACAAACCATAAACCTTTAAATGAGGAGTTTATGGCCAAGGACTATGAGTTTACGGCCGTAAACTCATGGTGGCCGTAAACTCCACGCTATATATACAAACCTTGGCCATTTTTCAATCACTTTTACCCTTTCAAGCCTAGAAATCGGAATTCTATCCCAAGGATCATAAGATTTTGCTTCCAAAACTCCAATAACATAAGTGATCATTCCCTTTGTGAATTAATACATCTCTTCTTCTTGATTCACTCTTGTATTTGTCCACGAATTTCATCTTTTGAGTCTAGATCTTCAAGATCCTCAAGAACATCAAGAGCACTTAAGTTTTTTGGCCCGAAAACACCCTCACGTGCCTTCAAATTGTAAGTTCCTACCACCTTTGCATGTTTGTTAGTTAGGATGTTGAATTAAGGACTTGAAAACATCAAGAAATGAAGAACAAAAGGGTGTTTACGGCCAAGGCAATCTCCCTTGGCTGTAAACCCTAATTATGGGTGCATTGTTGCCACAACTCTTTCCTTAGCCTTGGAACTAAGACTAGAACACTTCCAAGAGGACCATAGGATCCTAACACACAAAATGGTTCAAGTTACCATCAGTTTACGACCGTAAACTGATTGGGTCGTAAACCAATGGCCGTGAACTCATGGGGGATTACCATTTGGGCCGTAAACTCCTAAGTGAGACCCTACACCCCTTAGATGCAACCCTTTGTACTTCTAGCAGTTGAATCAAAGTGTTTTCCATGTCCTAGCGTGTCTATACTTGCTTAATTAGTTGTTTAATCACTAATTAGATGCATATATGTGTCATTATGTGCTAACTAGGATCTATGTGTATGCTCAAGTCTTTACTTGACACCTAGCATCCTATACCACTTGTTCATCCAATCTACTCACTAAAGGTGAGTTCGTACCCCTTAATCAACCTTTGAAATGGTTTTAAATGCTTTTATTGGGGTGGGGGGGGGGGGGAATACAAGTT